TATTTAAATAACCACTCTCCTACTTTTGGGAATTTGGGTTGTTTCCAATATTTTACAATTACAAATAATGCTGCACTAAATAATTATGTGCATATGTACTTTCATGTTGTTGAAGATGAATCAAAGGAAAATTCCTAGGAGTGTAATTGCTGAATCAAAGGTAAATACAAGTATAGTTTTGCTAGATATTGTCAAATTCCCTTCAAAAAAAAGTTATACTAATTTTCATTCCCTCTAACAATGCATGAAAGTGCTCATTTTCCACAGCCTTGCCAAGAGAATGTATTGCCAACACTTTTTAATTGTTGGCAATTTAATAGACAAAGAATATCTAAGTGTAGTATAAATTTGTACTGATCCAAAAATAAGAGCTATTTTAAGTCTTTTTTGAATTATCTGTTCATGTCTTCTTGCTTTTATAGGTGGTTTGGGGTTCTTTTCCTCCTCAAATATTAAAAGTGGCTTTAATGTTGTATGTTTACATGACTTTGTCTATGAGTTATGTGACAACTATTTAAGTTTGTCAGTTGTCTTTTGACTTTGCTTATTTTCTACCATGCAAAACTTATTTCCTATTTTAATTGCATGTAGTCAAATTTTTCATTTATTTTATTGAATCTGGATTTTGAGGCAGTTAGAAAATCTTGTCCTAGTTTATAAAGAAATTCATTCACGTTTCCTTCTAATACTTGTATGATTTCAATTTTCACTTTTAGAACCCAGATGATTCTTGTGTATGACATAAGATATCGATCTACTTTATCTTGTTTGAAAGGGCCAGCCAGTTTCCAGCACAATTATTAAAAGATCCATGCCTTACCCAGTGACCTAAGATGGCACTTTTATCATTTAGGATATACTTTGTATTCTTTTTGCCCATGTGCTAGTATAACATACTGATTTAATTATGCTTTTTAGTATGGTTTAATGTCTAGTAGGGCTAGTTCCCTTTCTAGATATTTTCTCGGCTATTTTTGCTTGCCCATTTTTCCAAATGAATAAAATCTTGCTCACCATAAAGAAGTTTGTTGGTATTTTTATAGGGATTGTATTTAATTTATAGATTAACTTAGGGAGAACTGACATCTTTTTGATGTTGAGCCATCCTATCCAAAAATAAAGCAACAAATGTCCTCTTCAATTTCACAAAATAAATTGACAACAAAATTAAAAATATATATCAATTTATATTCTGAACTAGCTTTCCCTACAGTAAAACTATGTATCCTCAAGAAAGGTTTGATATTTTGAACCGAATAAAAACGGGAAAATTAAATTTAGGTAATTCCATGGAAACTATTCAAACTGTTTCAAGGGACATTTTTCAGTATTCACAAAATATGTATGTGTCACCCCAGTCAGACTGCCTATTATCAAAAAGACTGAGAATAACAAGTGCTGACAAGGATGCGGAGAGTGAGGAACACTCCTACACTGTTGATGAGAATGTAAATTAGTACAACCACTACAGAAAACAGTATGGAGGTTTCTCAAACAACTCCAGACAGAACTACCACACAATCCAGCAATCTCAATTCTGGATATATACCCAAAGGAATGGAAATCAAGTCAAAGGGATACCTGCACTCCTATCTTCATCACAGCTCTACTTACAATAGACAAGATACAGAACCAACCTAAATGTCCACTGAGAGACAACTGGACAAGGAAAATGTGGTATATATACACTATGGAATATTACTCTGCGGTAAAAGAAAAGAATGAAATTCTGTCATTCACAGCAACATGAATGAGTTTGAAGAAAATTATGTTAAGTGAAATAAGCCAGGCACAGAGGGAAAAGTATACCGCATGTCCTCACTCATAAGTGGGAGCTAAGAAAGAAAGAAGGAAGAAAGGAAAGAAAGACCACAGTGGTACACTGGGCTTACAGAGGGAGAGAGCATACCAAGGTTTGCCAGGGGTTGAAGAATAATTGGTCAGAGGACACAGAGAATAACTGCAATTTGTGGTAATGGGTATGCTCATAGCATTGATCTGATCATCACATCTTGGGCACGGGTTGTGACAGTCAGCTTTGTACTTCAAGAGTATGCATAATCAATAAAGAAAAAAGATAACAATAGAAAAGAAAAATATGTATGCATCTTCAACATTTCTAGGGCAAGTGTACTGAAGAAAAAATACTCATAAAAAGGGGAAACATAGCACTTAGGAAATTGAAACTCATTTCATAAAATCAGTAACATTTTCATATTTTATCTGAAGAGAACTATCTTAGTTCTTTATATTAAAACAGACAGTACTCAAAATACTAAAAATTTTATTTTTTAATGATTCCTTTCAACTCTGTATATCAAACGAAGGCTTACAATTTATGAGATTCTGTTAAAGGTTTTATTTCTTATAACACAAAACAATTTCTCTTTTACAAAAGTTATTAAAAACAAAATGCTGATGTTTAAAGTGGCCCCAGTTATGTACTGTAGAAAATTTGTGTCATCATAGGCTAAATCATTATGGGGCATAATAATTCCCGGGTTAATCAAGATTAACAGAACGAGAAATTAAAAGACTAATAAGCTTCACTGGGAAATGTAAGTAGACGTTCCAGCTGAGGGAGCTAAAATCTCATTATTACTATCATATTTTATCTTAATACTATTTTAAAGAGATGGAATTCAGGAAGAAATTCAACAACAAAAAACTTACTCTAGTCTTAAGGCTGGTTCATTGACAATACATATTTAATGTTTTATAGCACTATTCAAAGATTCCTTCACAGGATCAACAAAAAGGATTAAAAAACTTTTTTTTCTGTCAAATATATGCACTGAAATGATTGGCAACCAGTAATATTACGCATGAATATACACTCAAAGCACAATACTTAAAAATAAAATAAATTTAAATAAAGAGTAATGTAACCCCCCCCAAAAAAAACCCACCAAAATACTACATGTCTACTCAACAACCTGTACCTTAATGCTGCTGTTCACCGCAGCATTATTTACAAAAGCCAAAAAGTGGAAAAAATCTAAATGTCCATCAAATAATGAAGGGGTAAATGTGATATATCCACACAGTGGAATGTTATTTGTCAAAAAAAAACCACCAAAATACTACATGTCTACTCAACAACCTGTACCTTAATGCTGCTGTTCACCGCAGCATTATTTATAAAAGCCAAAAAGTGGAAAAAATCCAAATGTCCATCAAATAATGAAGGGGTAAATGTGATATATCCACACAGTGGAATGTTATTTGTCAATAGAATAAAATGAAGTTCTGATGCATGCTACAACATGGATGAATCTTGAAAATGGTATATACTAAGTGAAAAAAGCCAGTCACAGAAGACCACATATTGTATGATTCCATTTATCTGAGATGTCCAAAATAGGCAAATCCATAAAGAAGTAGATTAGTGACTGCCTATTCTGGGGGATGGGGAGATAGGGAGTTACTGCTAATGGGTTCAAGGTTTGTTTGGGGGACGATGAAAACATTTCAAAACTGACTGTGGTGATAGTTACACGACCCTGGATATAATAAAATAAATGAATTATATACTTTAAGTGAATAAATTGTATGATATGTGAATTATATCTCAATAAATCTATTTTAAAAAGTAATGCAACATGCTTTTAGAGATAAATATTCAAAAATTCATGATCGATTTTCATTTCATGCACTGTGTCCTTAGCCACTTAAACAATCTGAGTTCGCTCCTTTTCTTCTTAAGAGAATAAAATGAGTATTTTCTACAATTAAACACTTTTACATATTGTTAATATGATTTACTAAAAACCCAAACAGGACATTGTTTAGGAAATTATTGAAAAAAAAAAATCATTGTAGAAAAAAAATCCTAAGTTTTAATTAAGCATGTATTTCTAAAAGTTTTAAAAAGCATTTTCTCTGGATACATTTATATTTCAGTATTTAAAATTACCTTCTTTTTAGGCAGTACATTCTTTTCACATAAGGAATTTAATGCTACTGAATAAGGCCTATATAATACTCACCAGAAGTAATGAAAGTTAAATTATAATCTTCAAAATATGCAAAATTTGAAGCACAGCAGAGTTAAGCAGATCCTAATACAAGGAGCAAAATTTATATACTGCCATTCATAAAAATAAATTCCAAGTTCCTTATCATAAACTTGTAATAAAAAGAAGACTCAATACATTTTGTGTGCTTTTTTTAAATGGAAGTACAGCCTCAGAAAATACTTATTACTAGAATCTCTCCACTTTCAAGTGGACTACTGTGGTAAAGTTAAGTATTTCCCGAAAGAGAGGAAAAATGAAATTAACTAATATCCATCAGTTCCCTGATTCCTAATAAGGAAGCATAATGGCAGTCAGGCTATCGGATAGCCAAATTCCCATTTAATAGTTAAGCATATTCATTTTGTTAAATTCTGATATATTTATTCTAAATTTATTTTGTCATATTCTGTGACTTATTTTATTAACATTCTGATCTTTAGACATTTACTTTCAAAATATCTGTCTGGACAGACTTCTCATTTTTCTGTTTTGAAAGCAGAATGTCTCTTTCAAAGGATACCTTGAGCCACAAACTGGTCATGTGAGGGTTCAGGTTGAAGCGTTGTTGATGGCACAAGTGGTTGAAATTCAGCACTCTCCAATGAAGGTGCCACCTGCGAACCAGTAAAGAAAATTATTTTTTTAATGTTACACTATGGAAAATGAAACACAAGCAACATACACACAAGATATCCTTAAATGATGTAACAGAATTATACTAGTTAGTATAACTAGAAAACACTCCACATCTTGAGAGTTATTGCAGTTTTTGTGAATGGCATTTTCTAAACTTCTTCTTATAGGAATTTTTAGAGTTTACATAAATCAGTAACTCAAAGGAGCAAAAGTTTTGATCTGATGTTCATTTAGGATTTTAAGGTTCCTATTAGGCCTACTCCATCACTGCCCAAAAGATGAAAGGCTAACATATACCACTTTAACTATAGTTCACTGTGTTCTTGAGATATTTTTTATTTCTTGATTTAAAAGAAAAGGTTTTTTTTTTTTTAATGTTTCAAGTGGCACACACAAATTTTAATAGTGCCTAGAAAAAATTAGAAGATATTTTTCCCTAACTTGCCTCATATCAAAAAATGACTTTAAAAAAACTCAGTAATATGCTGACACTGTTTCATAATACATTTTTTAAAACATTAAACAGATATTCTGTAGAAAGCAAGCACAGTTTTACGTACAGATTTACAGATGAGCAGACTGTGTGGTCTCCTAAAACTGAAAAAGCCCAGCCTGATGTGTTTGGCACCTCCTATGTAAAAACCATCTTATCTGGTGAGATCAGATAACACTTTTTCTTACCATAAATTTCTTCTCTGTGAGATAGCATGAAGTGTCCATACCTGGATAGCCTCCATACCAGTGCACGCACACAGCATGAGCTACCAATAGAACCTATAAATCAACACTTTTACTGACTCAGACACTATATAGCTCACAAAATTTGTATGTGAGTTATGTTGGTTGTGATTATATCCTCATACTACTGTATGGCACTTTAGACTAAATATAAAATGAAAGCAAAAACTAAGGTTATATTCATTTGTTGTTTCTAATAGTAAATAGAACATAAATTTGAAGAAATTGGTAGAAATGAAATATACAGTTTTTAAAATCCCCCTTTCAGCTTAAGACCTTAATCATCTATGACAACATCAAGTAAACATGACAGTTATGATACCAAGAAATAGTGAGAGAAAGCTACGGTCAAAAACTATAAGCAAAGCACATAAAATCATCTAAAAAGTAAACCTGTATAAAGTTCAGTCTAAATAAATCACTCATAGACAAGCATTAAATGTCTCATTTTATATAATATTAGATCCAGGTAATAGGAAAAGATAAACTCAAGCTTATTTTAAAAAACAAACTTGCCTACAATTGGCAATGAGAGGCATGTAAACAAATGTTCCTGTCAACAGACAAAAAGATAACTTTTATAGTTCTGTGAAGAAAACAATCATACATCAAGACTGATATCACAAACTGTGTTAAGAGCTGATTAATATATCTGGCTCCTGCCACAGACTCCTTTGGTTGTATAAGATAAGTTAAGGACACAATGATGCTGGAATCCTTTATCATTTTACTGAACATTCTTTAAATTGACAAAGACTCAAGAAGTCCTTATTATTGATAAAAGAGAGGTAGGGACCTGGTTTATAGTTTGAGCATTCAGTTTGAGAAAAGAAAGTTTATAAGGGCCCACTAAATGCCTGGCTCATTAGAAGAAAGCAAAGTTGTGATCCATGATCAAAGGTCAGGCACTCATTAAAGTTATGATTCTTCTCAGAACAGTCCAGAAAAGGGATACACAAGTTTAGAGAAGATGCTTTTAGGAAGTACCTAATAGTGATATTATAACTTACCCCATGTGGTTGAGAAAACACAAAGACTTCTTTATATGGTAATACATTGTGCTATAAAAATTGATTATGGGGGATTCATATTTCTTTTAGCCTCTCAATATTTTTTAAATTCACTATATTGGCATACTATTTTAATAAGTAAAAACAAAAAAGGCATTAGACTGAATTGCTCTAGTTCTATACTCAAATCCTTGCTTGTTTGGAAATAATCTCTAGTAGATATTTAACTGATTATATTTGATAATACAAGTGTATTTCAAAAAGTTCACGGAAAGATTAATATTATCTTTTAAGTGTATTTTTTCACGAACTTTTTGAAGTATCCTTGTATATGTGGATATATGAATATGTTACTTTTTACCTTGAAAACCAAATAATAAACAATTTTGACATTCAAAGACTAGCTACTTGCCTTGTGTTGAATGTTCCCCCAAAACTTGATCCCACTGTAACTGCTGAGGGTGGGAAATCCTATTATGGTAATTGAAATGTGGGGCCTTGAAGAAGTGATTAAGTTGATGGTTTAATGGTGGTCCTGGGTATGGTTCTGAGGGCTTTAAAAGGATAGCCCATGAGAACCTTTCAGTCTCTCTGCTCTGCCATTTTCTGCCATATGAGACCCTGCATTGCTATAAAGCCACCACCAAAGA